GACCCCCTCCATGGGAGGCCCCTCCCCTCCTCCCTGCAGCCCCCCAACCCAGCTGCGCCTCTGCACCCAGCAGTCTCTCACACTTGCCCCTTCTCACCCCCGCAACACCACCCCCCCACACTGCCATCTCGCTGCCCCAGCTCCTGCCTAGTCCAGAGCCCTCCTGCCGGGTCCTTCCTCAGTCTGGCCCGCTCAGCATGGCTTGGAGCCTGGCACTGGCCTTGCAGCCTTCTGCATGGTGTCAGTGCCCCGGACCCCTGTGTGGCCCCCTCAGCTCAGCCCCAGGGCCCTGCCCCACTGTCCTTCCCCGCTCCCTGCTCAACCCCCACCTCATCCTGGGCTCCTTTTAGCTCAGGCCCTGCCTTATCCCCGAGCTCCCTCCCAGCTCAGCTGCACAAACTCTGCCTGCTGCTCAGGGCTCCCAGCCCAGTGGCCCCCTCCCCCTCAGTGCCCTGCAGGCTCACCCCTCCAGCTGCTCCCCACCACCTTCTCTGCGCCCCCCAAGCCTCTTCCTGGACATTCAGAGGTGCTCAGGCCTCTGTCCCCCAGTCTCTGCCTTTGTCCATCTGAATCCCATTTCTGCCCGCTCTGGCCCGCCCGCTGCCCTGGGCCTCAGCCCTGACTCCAGCTGGGAGCTCGGCCTCTTGTACTCAGGCTCTAGGGCTCAGCCCAAGGCTGCTGTGTCCTCCCCTGACCGGCACCCTGCCCCTTTTCACTGCACCCCTGCCAGCAAAGCCCCTCCGCCTACTGCCCTATGGGGCCTCTCTACCCACCTGCTCACCCCAGCTCTCCTGGCTCCTGGGCACTCCTGCCCTCCCACCTGCCCCCTGTTCAACTGCATAACTCTGTCAGATCCCACCTAGCTCCTGGGCAGCTCCCTGCCCTCCCACATGCCCCTGCTCATGTGCATAGCTCTGCCAGTTCCCCTGGCTCCAGGGCACCTACAGCCCTACCGCCTGCCCCCTGCTCACCTGCATAGCTCTGCCAGCTCCCACCCAGCCCCTGGCCAGCTCCCTGCCTTCCCACCGGTCCCCTGCTCACCAGCATAGCTCTGCCAGCTCCCTACCCTCCTGCCTGCCCTCTGCTCACCTGCATAGCTCTGCCAGTTCCCCCAGCTCCTGGGCAGCTCTCTGCCCTCCCACCTGCCCCCTGCTCACCTGCATAGCTCTGCCAGCTCCCACCTAGCTCCTGGCCAGCTCCCTGCACTACTGCCTGCCCCCTGCTCACCTGCATAGCTCTGCCAGCTCCCACCCAGCTCCTGGGCAGCTCCCTACCCCCCCCGCCTGCCCCCTGCTCACCTGTATAGCTCTGCCAGCTCCCACCCAGCTCCTGGCCAGATCTCTGCCCTCCCGCCTGCCCCCTGCTCACCTACATAGCTCTGCCAGCTCCTACCCAGCTCCTGGGCAGCTCCCTACCCCCCCCGCCTGCCCCCTGCTCACCTGTATAGCTCTGCCAGCTCCCACCCAGCTCCTGGCCAGATCTCTGCCCTCCCGCCTGCCCCCTGCTCACCTACATAGCTCTGCCAGCTCCTACCCAGCTCCTGGGCAGCTCCCTACCCCCCCCGCCTGCCCCCTGCTCACCTGTATAGCTCTGCCAGCTCCCACCCAGCTCCTGGCCAGATCTCTGCCCTCCCGCCTGCCCCCTGCTCACCTACATAGCTCTGCCAGCTCCTACCCAGCTCCTGGGCAGCTCCCTACCCCCCCCGCCTGCCCCCTGCTCACCTGTATAGCTCTGCCAGCTCCCACCCAGCTCCTGGCCAGATCTCTGCCCTCCCGCCTGCCCCCTGCTCACCTACATAGCTCTGCCAGCTCCTACCCAGCTCCTGGGCAGCTCCCTACCCCCCCCGCCTGCCCCCTGCTCACCTGTATAGCTCTGCCAGCTCCCACCCAGCTCCTGGCCAGATCTCTGCCCTCCCGCCTGCCCCCTGCTCACCTACATAGCTCTGCCAGCTCCTACCCAGCTCCTGGGCAGCTCCCTACCCCCCCCGCCTGCCCCCTGCTCACCTGTATAGCTCTGCCAGCTCCCACCCAGCTCCTGGCCAGATCTCTGCCCTCCCGCCTGCCCCCTGCTCACCTACATAGCTCTGCCAGCTCCTACCCAGCTCCTGGGCAGCTCCCTACCCCCCCCGCCTGCCCCCTGCTCACCTGTATAGCTCTGCCAGCTCCCACCCAGCTCCTGGCCAGATCTCTGCCCTCCCGCCTGCCCCCTGCTCACCTACATAGCTCTGCCAGCTCCTACCCAGCTCCTGGGCAGCTCCCTACCCCCCCCGCCTGCCCCCTGCTCACCTGTATAGCTCTGCCAGCTCCCACCCAGCTCCTGGCCAGATCTCTGCCCTCCCGCCTGCCCCCTGCTCACCTACATAGCTCTGCCAGCTCCCACCCAGCTCCTGGGCAGCTCCCTACACCCCCCGCCTGCCCCCTGCTCACCTGTATAGCTCTGCCAGCTCCCACCATTCTTCTGGGCAGCTCTCTACCCTCCTGCCTGCCCCTTGCTCACCTGTGTAGCTCTGCCAGCTCCCACCCAGCTCCTGGGCAGCTCCCTACCCCCCCGCCTGCCCCCGGCTCACCTGTATAGCTCTGCCAGCTCCCATCATTCTTCTGGGCAGCTCCCTACCCTCCCGCCTGCCCCCTGCTTGCCTGGATAGCTCTGCCAGTTCCCACCCAGCTCCTGGGCAGCTCCCCGCCCTCCCTCCTGCCCCCTGCTCACCTGTATAGCTCTGTTAGCTCCCACCAAGCTCCTGGCCAGCTTCCTGCCCTTTCCCCAGTCCCCTGCTCACCTGCATAGCTCTGCCAGCTCCCACCCAGTTCCTGGCCAGATCTCTGCCCTCCTGCCTGCCCCCTGCTCCCCTGCATAGCTCTGCCAGCCCCCACCTAGCTCCTGGGCAGCACCCTGCCCTCCCGTCTGCCCCCTGGTCCCCTGCATAGCTCTACTAGCTCCCCCAGCTCCTGGGCAGCTCCTGCCCTCCCGCCTGCCCCCTGTACACCTGCGTTGTTGTCCATAAAGTTTATGCCATAGCCCCTGCCCCGTCTTCCCTAAGGTCCCCTCCCTACAAGTCAATGAGCTCCATCTGCGCTGCGTGTCTCCCCGCAGCTGCCGCCGGGCCCCCGGCTGAGCCCAGAGCACTCAGCCCAGTAGCTCCACTCCTGGTCTCATTCCTTCCCGGCCGCTCTGGCTTTGCTCCCTGGAGCTTCCAGCTGCCCGCCCTCTCTCTGGCAAGCTTGTCCCCTACAACCTCTGCCACCCTGCCCTGGCCCAGAGCAGACCCCTCCTCACTTTCCCCACTGGGAGCCCCTCTGGACCTTTGCTCTTTCCAGTTGCTGGTCAGCTGCCTGTGCCCAGCAGCTGCTGGCCTGAGCCCTGGACCCTGTCACCTGCCCACACCCAGGGAGCTGCGGGATCCACCTCTGACTCCGCCATTGGCCTGGACAGGACCCTCAGGCCCCTGGGGGTCCTCTTTCTCCGCTGCACCACGCCAGCCACCTCCCTGTGTCCCCAGCTCAGACCACTGCATCCAGGCGTGGTCCTGCCGTGGCTGTTCCTGCCCTGCCCTCTGGCCTGGGAAGCCCTGGGCTCCTGCCCTCCCGCTCGCTGAGTTTCTCTCAGGCCCTGGCCGAGCTGCTAGGGTCACTCTGTGGGTCCCTGCGGGCCTGGTCTCCCCTCAGCTCCTGGGGCCAGTTCCATTCTCCCCGCTTCGGCCCTGTTCTGTGGGGACCCCACTCACCACGGGCAGGGGCTGGGGAGGCAGTGCCCCCGGCCTGACTGCTCTTGTCCCCACTGCATGTGGCTCCTGGTGGCTGTGGCTGTGCCCACAGCCCCACGTCCAAGGCGTTGGTATCTGGGCCCCTGAGAAGTGAACTCCCCCGCCCCCCTCAGCCCACACCCCAGCCCTGCGAAGACTAAGAACAGGATTGAAACTGGTGCAGGGCTCGCTTCCCGAAGTTCCCTTTTTTCTGGGTGGTTTCTCTGTCAAGGGGCCAGGGGGAGTCCAGATGTGGCTGCGGGCCCCTCACGTGGGTGTGTGGGGTGGGTGAGGCAGGCATCCAGGGCCCAGGGGACAGAGTGAGAACCTGCTGTCATGTGCTCTGCCCCCCATGGGGCCGGGCTCTCTCTCAGGCCCCTGGCCTCCCCAGCCTCTTGGCACCTCTCCCTGCCCCTGCAGCGCAGGTGTGGGCACAGGCCACCAGGTCACAGTTAGCAGCCCCGTCCGGGCTCCCCATCCACCCACTGGGACGGCTCCCAGGAGCCAGCCGTCCTCAGGGCCCTGCCTCTGCCCTTTTTCCCTCTCTGGCTCCCTCTGTGTCCTGATCATTGACCAAAGGATGGTGCTGCCCACGGTCAGAGGGAAGGGGCCCTCCAGGCTCAGATGCGCGAGGACAGAGTTCACGGTGGTCACCGGGGCCCGAAGATGCCCCTCTGGCTGGGACCGCGTGCAGCCCTCCACCGCTCTGAGGGCGCGGACCCACCGCCAGGGACTTGGACCCTCAGTGTCTGCATCTGGTGCCGCACGCAGCTCGGTCGTCCTGCAAGTCCGAGGTCTGGCCTTGGCTTGGGGTGCTGGAGGCACCAGAGCCCGAACCCCTGAAGTGCCAGGGGCTGAAGGCTTCTTTCAAGAGGCCTGTGGGCAGGGCTTGTGCCCTTCAGGCTGGCAGAGCATTTTCAGGCCCAGTGCCCAGGTGCCGAATCATCAGGGCAGCCCCCTCCGCCTGTCCTGCCGTCCATTCCTCAAGCCACCTCCCAAGGTTGGGGGTTTCTTCCCAAGTCCCAGATCCTGGTCCAGGGGTGCACAGGAGGCTCAGCGAGGGGCTCGAAAGCTCTGCCTGGGGTGCAGGGCCGGGGCTGGGCGGGCTCCCCGCGGCTCTGCTGCATGGTGCCAGGGCCATGTCTGCGGAGGTCCTGCCCTCACGTTCTGGGGGTGGTCCTTCTGCGGCTCTCCCCGCAGAGTGGTTAGGCAGCCTGTGGGCT